TAGGCACAACTATGATGGCAGTAGAAAGATGCTGCAAATATAAATAGATTCGTTTATGTATGGAAAAATCTCGATAACAACGCTTGTAGGCATATACACTCTGCATATGCAACCCAATTATAGCATATGCTATATGCGATCCCGTGACATATAAATAATATAAAATGTAGAGAAAAATATTTGAGGCAAGGCACTCTACATTAATTACATTGATTGGTTGGCGAATCTGACAATACTAGTAAGATTAAATAGATTAGGAAAGCATTATAACATAAAAAAATACTCTTAATACGTAAACAATGCGTACTGCTATAAATATTATAAACAGAAAATGATTTTTGCGTTTAAGAGGATATTTTGGCAGAACGTGAGTCACACATACTTATGCACGGAGCCACATCATATGCATACTTGCATGCACATAATTATATCAAGAGTACATTGTACTCTTGATATATATATATATATATATATATATATAGAGTACATTATGTACATATATATATATATATATATTATGTATATAACGGTTGCTGTATTTAGATCTCCTACTATACTAAATGAACCAGGCTGCTTCCAAGTGAAATCTGTATGTTTGTACGCTTTCTAACCTGTCATCAATCATATTCCGGTGTATCATCGGAGTAGATGACCCATAAATGCGCCCTCGATGTTGCGTGCAGGTTTCTATTCTAGGAGATAAAACATTTTTAGTGCGAGTGAATGATTTTGGTTCGATTACATTTCATTTCGCTAATGTAGGGCGCAGTAAGTCGGGGCAGTAAGAATAAGCTCGTTATGGGGCAGCCTTCTGGATGTAAAATTGTTATGGTCGGTAGAGGTGCAGTACAAGTATTTTTATAAGCAATTTTGACTGGTTTTGTTTTACCTTGTCGTGACGTCACCACTCGCAATGCGATTCACCAATCGTCAGTTGCGTTGCACCCACTGAGCTATATATATATATAACTCAATGGTTGATCCGTTGCGGGCTAGAGCTGTTGTACGTTGCGCATGCGCGTCATCCGGGGATCGATTTTTCACCGGTGTGCCTCTCGGTTGCCGCTCTTCAAAGTCACTGATCTATATATAACTTATATGTATATATATATATATATAACTGTTATAATTATATAGAACAGTGTTCAAAGTCGATGAACCGATTAATGCCAACTCCCGTCTACCGATACTCTAGCTGCTCCTGATTCTATTTAGCTCTACCCGTGTAGCACTTCGCTTTGCCACAGACTGGCAATTCAGTGATCCGCGAGTTAATATCTTGCCGATGTTCCGATAAACGGAGTTTATTCTTCCGGTCGCGTATACATACTCGCGGTCTTGTTTAGTAAGTTTCTCGAATGCGAGCGCTTCATTGCATCTAAGCATTTCGGATTATATTCCCGTGTAACAGCTGCTAACTATGGCGCAACCACTTAGTTTAGTTTTGTTAGTTGGTTCTAGTTTGCAAGTGTTATTGTTGTGAAATTATGATGGTATTCGCCACTTATTTCGGGAACTGAACGTTAGAAGAACTACGAAGTAATAGAACAGTTGCAGTTGCCTGCTTGGTATTCAGTTGCCCTATATTTGATATCTAATCTATACATAAATTTTCTGAATAGATCGAAAGAACATGCAATCGTAAAATAATATTTTGTCCACAAAGCGTTGATTGTTACACTATTAATACAGTATTATTCACTTAAGAACACACCGATCAACGCCAGTGTTGGCCAAAGGTTTCGCTTTTGTTATTTTGCTCTTATAATGATTTGCTACTGTGTGCAGTTCAGACATTGACCGTATATAATATGTTTATGTTCATTTGGCGTTTTACTTGTGATGTAATGACTATGTCTACTTGTTTTGTCAAACTTGTTATTCTGATGACATGTAGGTTTGTTGACACACAGGCACGCACGCACGCACGCACGCACGCACGCACGCACGCACACACACACACACACGTACGCACGCACGCGCGCACGCACACCCACACGCACCCACACGCACGAACACACACACACACACACACACACACACACACACACACACACACACACACACCACACACACACACACACACACACACACACACACACACACACACACACACACGACACACACACACACACACACACACACACACACACAC